GAATGGCCTCAGGCCCAATAATAACAGAACAGTCTCGAGCCCAATAATAACAGAACGGCCTCAGGACTAATAATAACAGAACAACCTCGGGCCCAATAATAACAGAATAGCCTCAGACCCAATAATAACAGAACGTTACACTATTATTCCTCACAGTGATCCGGTCGTACAGTGGTCCTTTTCGGCAAGTGGCCTACACATCATACACATAAACTTATAAGTAATGCATTCTTTCCGTCTTTCATCATTCGTCCGTTTTGTTCACTTTTTATTCATTTTTAAACATTTCTGAAGGCCTAAACATACACATTCATAGATTTAGAGGGTCAAAAAGATGTACAAAAGATGCAATTTTTTTCCTATTTCCCGCACGTGCGGAAGGCCTCCACCGCACGTGTGAAAAGATGCGCCGCACGTGCGCCCCGCACGTGATTTTATTTCAGAATGTCCAAGTTGCTTCCCATGTTTTCCACATATGCGACTGTGAGCCCCGTACTTGCGGCTGTGTATCCCACACGTATGGCCATAAGCCTCGCACTTGCGGTCCTGGGCCCTGTTTGTGCTGTCTAAAAGTTCAACAAAATCAATCTTCCCAAACTCATTTCTAATGACCAAATCAAGCAATTCCTCTTCAAAAACATGATATAGGAACATATTAAGCATGAAATACAAGCTTAATGAAATCAAACTTCTTTTAATTGGACATATAGAACTCTAATTTCCATAAATCCTTTATTTCCTTCATATTTATATATATATACATATATATACATGAGCTCAAGCATGTGAGGAGGTAAGACCATCTCCAACGCTTCAGCAAACGTGATATCAAATTCAAAATTTGATGAAAAAGTCACTTTTTTGAGCTCCAACCGTTTTACCAAATCGATATCAAATCCAGAATTCAGCAAATCTTGTACCAAAATGAGAACAGGCGAAGCATTTTACCAAATCACTGTTCCTAACCGTTGGGAGAGACCAACCGGTCAACCAGCCGGTTGCCCGGCCGGTTGACCAACCGGTTGACCGCCTAAAGGTTCAAACGGTTCGAAAAAAAAGGTTCAAACAGAAAAAAAAAAAAAAAAAAAATTTTTTTTTGCCTTGACCAACCGGTTGACCGCCTAAAGGTTCAAACGGTTCGAAGAAAAAGGTTCAAACAGTAAAAAAAAAAAAAAAAAAAAAATTTTGCCTAACCGGTTGACCAGCCGGTCGACCACTAAAAGGTTCAAAAAGTTCAAAAAAAAAAAAAATTTCGCTTAACCGGTCGACCAACCGGTTGCCCCTGGTACAAATTTGATGAAAGTACACCGTTGGAGCGAGTGGTATCAAATTGGTAAAATGAGTCATTTTTTACTCAAATTTGGTGAAAAATCTGAGTAACCGTTGGAGATGCTCTAAGATTAGGAACAATTCTTCACAATCTAATTCAAATCACACTTAACATAAAGGAATCAACTCTTTAATCAAGAAAATGTGAGGAATCCATGTTAATTTCATGAGGGGTATTCAATCAAACCCATAAGCCATAAACCCTAACTTATATACATGGAAGCAATTTCATCTTAAGGCTTGACTTGAACCAATTGAAGAAGGACTTAGAGTAATTTAAGTAATTTATACATACCTTGAACTATTGTCTTGATTTTCCTCTTTGAATCCCCAAATTCCAAGCTCCTTGTTGAACTCTCCTCTTCTTCTCTCTTTTCTTTTCTTCCTTGCTCTAGAGCCCTTCCCAGGAGATATTTTGTTATATTTTATCTAAGTCTCCTAAGGCTTTTGTATATAGCTAACTCTCTTAAGCTTTTAAATCGAAAGAGGACTTTAATTAGGAAATTAGCCAAATAATGGCAATTAAATCATTACAAATCAAATTTTTACAAAACTTCATATTATAACCAAAAGATCATGCTCATCATAAATGTAAAGTCAATTTCCGATTATTGCGTCTCTAAGGCTTTCATTCGCAATTCAAATGTCGTAATTTCAACAGATTTTCTCATAACCGACAGATATAAATTGATAAACATGTAATACCCACATCAAAACATGGAATTTCATATTGAACATATAAACACATATATAATCACCCATCTAATGAGAGATTTAAGCATACGAGAGAGTCGGGTTATTACAGAGAAAATGTTAGACTTTATCTTTTCTAAGACTAGAACAATGTCTACAAATAGTAAGTTTATTCATATGCTTCTAGCGGTCTTTAAATTAATTTGTGTTTCATTTTTCAAGTCAGAAATTACTTGGAGAGATGCAAAATATGGTCATAGAATTCAAGAATTTTGTGCTTTAAGCTTTTTTTTTTTTTAATATATGTAATCACATTAAAAAATTTTTTTTATTAGGGCTGGTTTGGCATCTACTAGTTAAGATAAAAAGCCAAAAAGTTATCAACAAAGCCAAAAAGTTACCTTATCTTGGAAGATTGGGCGGCAAAACCCTGTCTGACTCTGCAGAGGGTAAAATTACGCTTCTGCCCTTCCTTTTTGAAATTGCATATGAGTCGAATATATCACCAAATATACGCGATCACAAAGCCCCTTCTTTCTCCAACCTCACAAATCCCTCAATTGGTTAAACAAGTCTAGTTCGTTGAAGATACACCATCCACGGCCGGAGATCCGTCACACCCTTCACCTTGCACCACCGCCACAACCGTGCCAAAGGCAGACCTCGACGTGATCACCTAAAAACTATAACCGATAGGAAGGACCATCCCTCGTCCAGATCTACACCACCGCCGACCAGATCTACACTACTTCGGCCCGTATCCCCCAAAGAACAAGGTAACATCTCTTCACGCCACTGATTTTGGGCATGTGAACCAAATCTGTACATTTTCCCATTTTCGGCGATTTGGTAGTTGCGAAGAAAATCAATGATTTTTCCTGAATCGCCCTGTACTCTCTCCACTCTCACACTTCCACTTTCCAACCTTTTCTTTTCTTTACCTTCTTCATCACTCTCTCCTCTGTTCCTCCACTTTCCTTTGTCTTTAATGGCTGCCCCATAACCTAACCCCTCTATCATACTATATGCGTGGTTCGATGTTTTAGCCTTCTGGGTCTCTCTCTTTTTGGTCGGTGAAGATGACCCACACAGCCCTTCAAAAAATTTGTAGATTTTTTCTTCTAGGTGTGTGATGGCATTGGGGATTTTTTCTTCTGTAAAGCTTTTGTTTTCTCAGATACCCATTGAGAAAAATATTTTATATTTTGACAATTTTTTTCTTGTTTTTTTTCTCCTGGTAATGTTGGGCTTCTATGCTTGTACTGTTCACAATTTTTGGTTTGGATATTTCATAGTTGCTTGAGTTTGTTAGGTCTTTAATTGTTCAATGATGTTAAACTTTTCTAGCATCCAAAGCATATAGTGGAAAATTTCGGCCCTCATGTAAGACCGTTAGTTGTTCAAAATTTCTAACAAGGACTACAATTGAATTAATTATTGGTCTTAAGTGTTAGTGTTCACCTTATAGATATTGTAGGTGGAGTATAATTATTGGTGTTAAGTGTTAATTGTTTAGCTTATAGATAGTGTTGTCCAGCTTATAATATAATTCTTCTCATATACAACAAATTATCTCATACGGTCAAAAAAAAAATAATAATGGTATTAACAAAATCCTCTAACTTGATTTGTTAAAGAAATGGAGTAATGTTATATAATTCATCTCGTGTTATTATTAAGAAATTCTATAATACACTCCTCTTTCGTAGGATTTGTTATATGTCTTCTTTTTTTTAATAGAAGGGTTTATTATATGTTTGGTTATGATCTTTGGTGATATTTTAATTTTTCACTTGATGTGTCAACCATTTGGGTCTGTTTCTTTTTTGCTTCTTCTAACATCTACAAAACAAAATGGAGATTAGTGTTTCTAGCATCGTTAGTGTATGAGAACAATTTTTATTAATGAGACCTTATCTGGATTTCATAAAAGGAGAAACAACTGTGCACATTATTTAAAACATGAATGATCATAGTAACAGGAGAAACAACTGTTTTTCCTTTTCCAATTATCTCGAGTAATAAGCACATGACAAGCAATTCTCAGAAACCAATTTCGAGACAAAATTTAGGTTGATGCTCTAAAGATAATATATATTGCATTTCATACAGAGTTATATTCAGTACAATTTAATAAACAGTTCAAAACTTAAAAGATCTTCCAGGTGAATAGCATTTCAGATTTAGGAATAAACAACTGACAGCTTTTGGTAATGGTAGATAACAACTTCTTCTAAATGGAAGCGACAAGGATGAGTTGGTTTGGAATGGATAAATGAATCCATGGATATTCATGATGCATCTATATTTTCTCACAGGCAAGTTGCATAAATACCAAACACTATAGCAGTAGAGCTCCAATATCGAATGATTCAAAAAAAACGTACAAATACAGAACAAGTACGTAGGGTGATCAGATTCTGTTTTGATCAATTTTAATGAGCAGAACTCCATACTATTGAACTAGCTAACTGGGACCATGCTACATAGGCACAACAGAGGCTACATTTGATGTATCACTACAGTGAATATATATCTATGCATGTTTATATATGAAAATCCTTTTTCAGAGCAGTAATCCAACAATATAGAAGGCATGAACAAGAAGAACCGCATCAAGAATGAACATGAAACTATGAAATCCAGATAAGGTCTTATTTGCTGATTCAATTGTTTTAACTAAAAGGAGATGGATGGGAATTTCTTAAATACATATTGTAATTTACCATTTTCATGTTGTGACAATGTTGTTTTTTGACATTTTCACAATTACTGTTGCATTGTAGTACCGAAATGGAGCACTCACAATCGCTATCCATATCTTCGAGACATTTGCGTAAGCATGGTGGTAAACAGTCTCAACCGCAGTCCAGACTAGCTCACAAAGCAACTTGGGACTCTGACACGGTGCGCATGTTCTTGCAACTTGTTATAAAGAGTTGGACTCAGGTTTCAAGGGCAGCTTCCATACAATAACAATGCACGGATATAGGGCTATCGCCAAGGCCTTCGAGGAGCGTACACATAAGGTCCATGAGGTGAAGCAACTGCAAAACAAGTACGCGTCACTGAAAAACGATTGGCAGTCGTGGTCACGCCTGATGGACAGCAGGCATGGGCCAACCGGCATAAGTTACAATGAAGCAACTGGTTTGATACAAGCATCCGACGACTGGTGGGCCCATTATGAAAAGGTAACAATTCCATATTCTTCTTTGTAACATCCAACGTGAAAATTATTCATATGTTACAATATATATTTATAAAAGTTCTTCAAACATATTTTAATGTGACCAAAAACAAGAACTAAACTTGGTTAGACTTTTCACCCCAACAGCCGTTGTTATACTTGCCAAGTTGCCTATCAGTCTCTCTATCTCCCTCCCTATGTATGATTGTTTTGTGAAATTTGTTTAACTGCTTTGTGAGTTTCTGTGGCCAAGTACTTGACTTACTTCACTTCATTAGCTAATGGATTCACTTCATTAGCTAATGGATTCACTTCACTAGCTAATGGATTCATTGGTACGTAAGCATGGGCAAACAATCTTAACTTTCAATTTGTATTTCCCTTATTGGTGCCACCTCTAGCTTTCCAAAATTGTGTACATGTCTTCTTTTCTATAAGGCTCTTGGCTGCGTTTAATTAATAGGAAATGAAAGAAATACGAAAATGAAAACTATTTTCCTTTTCTGCATACGAAAACGTGGGTTCCACCATTGTCATTTTGTTGAAGAAAGTATTTTTGCTTAAATCATTTCCTATATATAAAAATTGAGATTATGCATTGTGGGAGAGTTATAAAAATTTCTGCCTGTCATAAAAAGAAATCTGTCCCGCTGACTTTCATAAAACAAGCCGGAGTTAATTTCTTATCATATATTAGGTATGAGCTAAATAGCTCTAAAATTGAAGGGCTTATCAGTAAATTTGGTTTTTGGGGTTTCTGTGAGTTAGGTTGTGGAGGGTGACAGAGGAAAGAGGGGGGAATTTGGACACCTTTGATGATTTCTGGGTTTGATTATAGGGTTTGTGAAATATGAGATTAGGAAAGGGAGAGTCCTAGGATGTGGGCAAACCAAAGAGTAGGAAGAAAACAAATGATGCTGTGGAGGAGACTAGGTGTTGGGTTAGGTTGAGGTCTATTGGTAGCTGTGCTGTATTTCTTCAAGATCTAAAGTGGATAGCTCTATTAGTGGCAGCAATACTCATTGTGGTAATCCTTTATTTCCCTCTGAAAAGTTTCTATGTTGTGCTAAAACAAAATCTTTCTTATTGCCATTGTTTTTTTGGTCTCAAACAACTTTAATTTACTTCATTTGCTTTTCACATTGGAATTACAGGTAATTGCTGTATGTTCATATTGAATGGATATATGTTGTTTGTTTTGCTCCTACTGTTTGTCATTAGAGTTAGAACGCATCAGTAGTACTATCTAAGAGTTGCACATATTGAAAACAAGTTTGCTGGAATGTGGTAACAACTTATAAATGTGCACTGATTAGAGGGATAGTATATACAAAACAATGAACATAATCTGGCAATCAGTTTGTAAACATCACTGCAAGAAATCATGCAATCCGGTAACAACTTGTTTTTTACTAAACCTGTAACATAAACATCTCTTCCATGGCTGCTGTTGTGTTTCTCCTCCTTCCTTGATTCGCTTCATTATGCTTACGTGTTTTGGTTTTCCCCAGATTGACAAGAATGCACTGAAGTTCAAAACGAAACTGTTGGAGCATATGGAGCTAATGCGAAGGGTGTACGAAGGTGCAACTGCAACCGGGAAATTCGCATGGACACCAGGGGCAGCGTTCGAACCTGTGGCCATGGAGGACAATCCGTTGCTGGTAGACGAAGAAGACTGCGAAGACAGCAGTGGTTTGCCCCGTTTCCAGCCATCCGCGCAGTATGGACAAACTGTCCACCACAGTTCTGCGCAAGAGGAGGACATCCCGGCCAGTGTACATACTGCGGCATCGGCAATTCACGTTGATGACACACCTACGAGTGGCCAGAGCAAATGCAAATTCAGTCGCACAACACACTCACAGCGGAAAAAAGGGCTAAGTGTCGGAGCATCGCTCTTGGCAAGTAGCATGGAAAACCTTGTGTCTTCAGTTAAATTACAATAACGAGAAGTCCGCGTGCATCATGAATATGGAGATTCGGCCTCGGACTGCATTCGCAAGTGTATGGCAAGGTTGTAGTCCCTACAAGGCTTGGACCGACAAGACCCACTAATCCTTTACGGTATGTCGCTAATGGACAATCCGGCAAATCAAGCAATACTATTGCAGCTTCCGACGGACGCAGACGTCATTACTTGGCTGCGAATCAAGAAGTCCCAGAATATGGGTGGCCCATCAGCGCCAACTCACGGCCCCTGGTTTTGACGGCTTTTGTCACCGGAAAGGGCTCATGTTTCATTAATATCCTGCATTAGTTTTCTTAATTGTTGCTACCTCCTATGTTTGTTTTATGTTTATTATTTCCCCTATGTTTGACAGTGGCTGTAGGATTTTTTTTTTAAATTACGGAATCGGTGTGTGATGTGTTGGATGTTGTATTACTTTGTATGCAGCAGGCACGTTATTTATAAATGTGTTGGATGTTTTCTTTTCGTTCCCTTATAAATGTGTTTCGATTCCTGGATTTTAAGGGATGCTAACAAAGCAGCTTACTGAATAGTGATGACCCACCTTTTATGAGTGTGTTGTACATCTGTGGTCTATGCATGAGTTGGGTTTACAGTTATGGTTTGAACTGTAAATTTTATTAAATACACATTCATGAGCAGAGCAATTGAAAGAACATGTCTATTCAGAGCTGTAAATGAGGATTCTAACTTCATGTTTAAGAGATGTCATTTGCCCCAACTCGGCAAGACTATTGATCTTATAGGACTTTACAGATTGACAACACAGAGCATTGGGAAAATTTTGCGATGGTGCTCTCAGATTAACCTGCAAATCCAGAGCAAACGCATTTTGATCTGATTTTTGCATTGGAATTTGACAAGAACACTTGTTTTTTGAACTTGTCAAGTTTTTAACTTTTAGCTGTCCAATATGTGATGTTGTGTTCCGGAAATGTCTTCAAGGAAAAACTGTTAAATTAATTGAAACTTTTCAGAGAATTCAACTTTAAGGTAGATGTGTTAATTTTAATTGGAACTGTTAATGGATAGAGCTTTTTTTAATAATGGAATTCAATCCTTTGTAGTCTGTAAAAAATTAAAAATGACAATCAAAAATGAAAGAAATATTTGTAAAAACATGCTTCTTGAAAAATTAAAATATTCACACAAAAATAAGAAAAATGTACTAGTAATTTTGGTTTTATTTTATTTTATTTTGTATGTTTAGTATTAGTTAATTTTTTTTAGAAAAAATGACAAATATTATATTTTTAAAGTGTATTTATATTAGGTGTGTTTACAAATTTAAAAAAAAATTTAAAAAAGATGATAATAATGGATGTAAGTGTAAAAAATATACATACATTTTCGGACAATAATGGAACTGACAGAGGGAGCCGTAGGCAGATGGTCTGGTGCTAAAATTCTACCTAAAGATTTACCCAAAGATTGTTGTGAACTTCCTTCAATATTGTCCATTTGTGAGACTTGGACAGATGCTACAATTGTAGACCATAGGTTTTTCATGGCAGGTTGTCTTTTTTTTTTTGGTAATGGATGTACCCTTCACCTGACTTCTTAGTTCACGTGAACACTGTTGTGCTCATGGGCATCTGGACGGGTAAAAATTACATTTTCAGTCAATATGTGCGTACCCTGTATATGATGGACAGCTTTTGTTATTTTACATTATTAAATGTCCAGTTTATTATCATGGCAAAAATTAATATGCGAAATAGGTTTTTTTTTTTTTAATTAGGCAAGCTGTCCAGTTTGTTAGCATGGCTGCACAAAAGATTATTTTGTGGACATTATTAAAATGTTTTTTGGTTCCCACAAAAAAGAGAATCAAACGTGATGGCACCCTTGACAACAATGTAGAATCCCTTACATAAAAAAAGCTACGCATTTGTGTAAACATGGCCCCCACAACCTTGGTCATTATATTCTTCCCCTCTTGTCTATTTTTTTCCTTCAAGAGTTCACAGTGTGGTTTTCTCTCTGTCCCTCTCCCGCCATCAACTTGAATTATTTTATTTGCTTGGAAGTTTTTGAAGTTGTTCACATTTTTCGCCAAACTCAAAAAACAAATGGCAAACGGCGTAGGTCCGAGTCACCGTGTTGCACTTTCCATGTCCGCTCGGGAAGCTATCGATGAAATTGCGAGGGAAATGGTGGCCGAAACTGATCACAACTTGGTAGAAGCCTATAACAGTGGGGCAAGATATTATTACAACAATTATTACAAAGTCCCTCGAAATACGTCAATACTTTCGGGACGTTTATGGATGTTTGAGTTGTTTAACGGCCACCAGGGCCGGTTTGAAGCTAATATCAATATGTCACAACCAGTGTTCTTGTTGTTATGCGATGCGCTTCACAGTTTCAGATTGACATTGCCAGAGTGGGAGCATGGCATTTCGCTGGAAGAGAAGGTAGCCATTTTTATTTGTGCATTGCAGGGTCTATCTTGGAAACATTTGCAAGAACAGTTCCAACACTCAAAGGAGACATTGTCACGCAATTTTCATGAGGTAATGTAAGTTGTGATACCGTTTACATCGGTTCATAGTAGGAGTCTTACGCCCGAATAAGGGGGCCATCCACATTTACGGTCATAGCAGCGGTACCGGGCATTCAAGGTGACATTTCCATAAACGTGCAAATTTTTTAAAGCTTACAAAAAAACCATGATGAGGCCAAAATAAAAGAGGCTATCAATTACTGTCGGCCCAATGGGTGGTATGTATGTCAAACAAAATTAAAAAACAAGTACTAAAATTTTAACATGAATAAAGTATAAAGAGTAGCAAAATAATTTATTCAAAAAGAATTGAAGTCAGCTTGTATATTTGATTTTAAGATAAATTATATTAACATCTGTCAAATAATGAACAAATTACCGTTAAACGTGTCAATTTTAAATAATTATTTTATTTTTTCTTCACAGTAGTTGTAATTTTGATGGTATTAATAGATGATGAAATTATTATATTATGGTTACATATTTTACATTTCAAACTCTGTTTAACAATAGTTACAAATTAGGTAAATTATAAATATACCTCATGGAATTTGCTTAAAAAACAAATTGTTTGTTGTGATTTGAAAAACCAGAACTACTCCATCATTTAAAAAATTTATTTTCAACAGAATTAACTTGTAAAATTTATAATTGCTCTCCTATACATTCTATAAAATTACGTAAATTTAAATGAAACATATTTTTAACATTATTAAAAACTGTTAATTATAAATGATGATTTATTAATAAACTGTTTGACTAGCAGATGTGCAATGGTATTATCAACTAACTAACTTTTATATTTTAAAAACAGAACAATATAATTTTATAAAGTTGAAAGATTAATAATTGTAATTTTTTTTATTGGGAGAGGTTTTTCTCAAGTCAAAAACCAATTACAGAATAATGTTGGGCTTCTATGGACTAATCAATCTCTAGCTTACATTGATTGTGCAAACTGTTAGATATATAGCGCTTGTTGAGTACTTATATTAATTTGTTAAAAATTGGTGCGTTGCGTAGGACTACATCAGTGCATTGGACGGGACGCACGTGATGGCTCGTGTCTCGCAGGAGTACGCCACATCATACTATGGCCGAAAAGGCGTGCCGACACAGAATATAATTGTTGTATGCGACTTTAATTTGTGCTTCATATTTGTCTCTGCCGGTTGGGATGGGAGCATGCACGACAGCCGAGTTTTGCACTACGTGACAACCGAGGAGAAACATCGCTTCCCGCACCCCGCACCAGGTACAAAATATTAAATCGAAATATGAATACGTAGAAACTATAAATATAAAAAATTTCAATAATGTATTTTGTTGGCAACAAAATTGTGAAAATTATTGTCTTTTTTTTATATTGTCAACAAAAGCAGTTGTCTAATGTAGTTTATTTTCCAAAATTCAAAATTTTTGCAAACAACTTAAAAAAATGAAACAAATGGAAATGAAAAGTTTTCAAAAATAATGAAGTGGTACATAAGAATGTGAAAATGAAAATGAAATGTTATAATTTATTATTTACAATAACTGAAAAAGTACTCCAAATAGAAATGCTATTAATGAATTAGAAAGTAATTAGAAATATGTTTGCGTAATTGGAATTATAATTGTTCACAACAAAAGAACTTCACAATGAAATTATAATTGAAAACAAAATTGGGATAAGAACAATTTTTATTAATGAAAATGTAATTGTCATAAAAAAAAATTATTATAATTCACAAACAATGTTGTAATTGGGAATATAATTTTTGAGAACAAAAGGAATTGGGAGAAGGAGTAATTGAAAAAAAAATTGGGAAAAAATTAATTTAGAAATGGAGAAATTATTCAACAAAAGAATTAATTATTAAAAAAAAAAACATTACGAACCAATGCAAGTTAACTGAAGAATAATTTAAGTGGTACAGAATACTGTCAAATTGAAAATGAAATGAAACAAATTTTGTAGGAAAATACTATTTGGTGGATAGCGGTTACAGCAACAAGACAGGGTACCTAGCCCCCTCCAAGGGGTATAGGTATCACCAAAATGCCCATCGAAATCGAACACCGTAGAATCAGTTCGAAATGTTCAACAAGGCACATTCGTCACTGCGTAGTTGTATGGAGCGGACATTCGGTGCCTGGAAGGCTAGGTGGGGGGTATTGCGGAATATGCAGAAGTTAAGTTTTTCTAATCAAGTTACGTTTGTATGTGCATCGATGACGTTACATAACTTCATACGCTGACATAGCGAACTTGATGAGGTCATGATGGGTATCCCAGACAGTAACGATTACGTGGCCCCCCCAAATGCCCGACCACGGCGAATACACACGGGTTGCTGATGTGATGGAGGAAGAGAACTTGGACCCTGCAATGGCCGCTGTAAGGGTGAACATTACTAACGCATTGGTACGGCAAGCACACCGGTAGGGGCGAATTGGAAATACAAGAATATTGGTTGAAGGTTGTTAAC